TAGCAACTTTTATAAGATTTTTGGTAAGGTTATATGCGACTAATATAAACTACAAAGTTTGATTTAAGCAAAGCCCTTTGTTTCGGAACAACCTTTTGGTAGGCATTAAGCTAAAAATGAAAATTTTACTCTCTCTGAATGATGGCGTGGTGTACGTGCAAAGCACTTTTTAATGAAATATCCTATATATGTATGTTTTTACATTAATACTCAGCTAATGAGCATAAATTTTAAAATAAATTGAATTTTTCTTTTTATCTTCTCTCTTTTCTCACAATTCTTTTAGATGAAGAATCAAATGAAATGAATAAATAAATTTACATAAATTTTGAAATTACCTTATTTTCTGTTATTTTTTATATTCTCTATAGAATATAGCTTTATATCATTGTTAAATGATAATGTAATTATTCGCCTTTTTAACTTTCCAATTTTTACGTAAAATAAGTTTTATTTAAGATTTTTAGACTGATGTAACATTGAAAGCAGCTTCGTTCTTAAATATTGCTTCACTGAATTAAATTCAATTAAATACTTTTTTCTAAAAGGAGAGAAGAAGGTACATTTGAAGGTATACACCCAAACATGCATGTGTAAACATATGTATTGTACTAAACAATTACAAAAAATGTTACGATATCATACTGTTATTCAAAATTAAATGTAAATATGGCATCATACTTGAATTTATAAACTTGGATAGAGTTAATTTGATTATATGTACATATGTATGTACGAGTATATTTAACATATTTTTTTCATTAATATATATGTAGGTATATTTTATGATTTAAATTTTGTATGGTACATTTGTTCAAGATCAGAAAACGCCTTTAATTACTGATAAATAGCAAAATTGAAAATAAGGAAAGGTACTATAATACTTAGGAAAGGTAAGGAAAAGAGACAAATTTATCATATTGTAGTACACGAGGCATAGTCCAAATCGAGTCCAACCAGAAAAAAGATTCCTCGTTTTGTGTTACGAGATACAATACAAGGTGGCTTTGTCAGCTTTCAAGGTTATTTTTTATAAACTTACAAAAGCTTGGACGTCATAGAGTGATCGGCGATATATTTTTTATTTAGGTTGTTATTGGTTGAACTTAACAGGGTCATGATAAAAATAAGCCGATAACAATGGATTTTATGCATTTAAAATATGCTTGTTTTATTTTTTTTAAAGAATTTTCGTTTTGCTCTGCAATTCTGATATTTATTAAAAATTGTATAATATTTTTAAAAGTGAATAAATTGAATTATTCATCTTATTTTGTTCAAGTCTCAATCAAAAGTCATTAGGGCGAAGGGTGGCATAAAGTTTTTGTGATCCTAAATACATTCAACAAAACGTTAAAATTTGTAAAAAAAAATATTTTTTTTTTAATCTGGAAATAGATTTTGGTACTTCATATAAAATTTATCCATTGAATATTTAGAAACCCTAAAAGAATTTTTATTACCACTTTTATATTAGTCATTTCGATCAAATTACTTAAGAAGTGAAATAAAACAAAATATAGTTTTTAAAAGATTTTTGTACTATTTAGGGTGCGAACGAACATTATAGTGTTTAAATAAAATTGTTTTATATTATTATCAGCATGTACACACATTGCGTGTCTTTGTTTTCGGGTTTGATATATAAAAAAATGTAAATAACCAAATAGCATCCATATATTTTTCATTATAATACGAAGCATGTAATACGAATGCGTTATTGAAATATATCTTAAATTTAAATGATCAGAAAATAATTAAGTGGCTAAAAAAACTAAAGAGATGTGACGAACTTTACATTTTTAATGAACCATGTAAAATTATTTTCACCCTATTTTCAGTTTTTTTCGTTTTCAAATATTCACAATATAAAATTTTTTTAGAGCCTATGATTTCAAGTATACGCAGCTTAATCATGTTTAAAATAGTGAAAAGGAATGAAAAAACATTTGTTTTGTGAGAAAATTAATTGTGTTAGGATTTCGGGTCATAAATTTTATTGTTTCTTGTTACATTCAAAAAGGATTTTAAGACATTCAATATTTGTTTGAAATATTAAGATTCTGATAAGGATAATGTACATACGTAATAAGTATATTTTAGTTTATGATTATTAAATTATCAAGCTGAATTTGAGATAGATTTGTTTTTATAAATTATTTAGTGGTTAATAAAAAGAATTAATCTTACGATGGTTTCTCAACTAGAAAACGCAAGTATATTTAAATTATTTTGTTAAGTAGCTGCTTATTCAAAGCTGTAAAACATGCAGTATCGCGATGACTTCATTTAATCAATATTTCCTTTTAATTTGTTTTTTAAATATTGTCGGTTGTTGTATCGTATATCGTTTGTTGAATCGTATACAGTTTTATATTTATCGCCATTATTTTTGTTAGTTGTCATCACTTTTTACTTGGTTGTTATAGGTATCTGATTTCACTGTGAACTAAATTGTTTTTTCAATTTATAATAATTTTGCTTATTTTTCAAAAAAACACTCTTCATTTTGCAGTCTTATTATATTTTGAATATAAGTTGATAAATGTATTGATATGGCCATGATGTACAATTCAGTTTATATGAAAATAAATAATTTATGTAGATTGAGTTTGCTGTATTTAAAATCGATCATTGAATACAATCTAAAAATACATATTTCTATGAACTTACTACAGTATATATTTTGATTACCTCAACAAATAGTTATTTAATCTTAAAGTCGCAGTTGTTTATTTATTCTAAAAATCACGAACAGCGTTTAAATGTAATTTTTATTTAAGAATAAACAATTTTGTCTCGAATTTGTAAATACAGTTTTTTATGAAACATTGAATCAATAATTTTTTTTTAATGCATTTCCCTTTTAAATAGAAAATCATTAATCAAAATTTTTTGAAGTTCTTACAAAGTATATGTATGTATATCTTACTTCCAACTGTTTAAATAGGATCCATTACATTAAATATAAATTATAACACATTTATGTATCAAAGAAAAATCTTTTTAAATATGTTTGAATATTTATACAACATGTTTGATTCATAGTATGTGAGCGAATAGCATACAATGTATAGTTATTTGTGAGTTACTTTAATAATATGATGAGTTTTCAAATACATATATTTAATTATTTGCTTACGTTTTTTGGAACCATATAAAAAAATATATAATGAAGTTAATTTTCATAAGCTTGGTATTGTCAAGATTTTGCCTGCTAATACCGTAAAAAAGTAAAAATATCGAGAAAATGATTTTGTAAAAGCTGCACTTTACTCTTTCATGTATTCTTGTTATAATAATATGAATTTATCTTCTTAACCTAATCCAGTTTTTATATTATTAAAATAATTGCCTTTAAGCTTTTACACGTAAACTCGTTGTTTTATTTATATATATGTACGTATGTATAGCGCTTATAAACACAAAATTTATTATAAGTGAACAACTTTTAGTTTTATATTATTGTATCAAAATCAACACTTTAATTTATTAATACTCGTATTCATTTTAAGAGAAATAGAAAAGTATTCTATAAGAACATAAGCTATTATAAGACGTCAATGCAGTATTATCATGAAACATGTTCGAAGAAACAGTTCCTGAAGTTTGATATAGTTTTAAGAATAATTTCTTGGTGATAAAGGATCATACACACATACATATATAAAGCACGAACCTTATTAAGAATTCAAGAAATGCACATATGAAAATGAGGAACAAAGAAACCGATTTTGCATATGAATAACTTTGAGCTGTTATTTTTTTTTGTTTTGCATTTAATTTTAGAAGTACATTTTAATAAGACTAATTTTAATAACACAATGATGGAATGTAATTTGCGTCGGATTTTTTCAAGGTCAGATGAGGTTCTGTTAGGAAGTGTAATGACATTTTTTTATCAACAATATTTTTATTCTCTATAATTTTATTTCGCATACCTACGTTTATGTCAGTGGTAACGATTTATGTTTGTCGAGCGTGATCAAATTATATTTTAAGAGAAAGAGACATGAATCGAATTACAACAGAAAAATTTTATTTACTTTAAACTTTTAAAGACGAAATAGAGATAAAATGAATCATAGCTTTATGTACATAAACTAATTACATATGTATACCTACGTAAATCATGTATATATTAAAAGTTTCATTGCCTTTTCATATTATGATTCATTATGATTTGAGTGTAAGAAGAAAGTATCCAATCGTTAATAATTTTTGTTAGTTTCTAGTTGAAATTTCTGTGTTTTTATGTTATTTTTTCCTTTTTTTGAAATTTTTTGTGGATAGTGAGATTTATTTATGTGGCTCTGAGAGTGGAAGCTTTGGAGATTTTCACCTCTTTTGGTATAGGGTGTATTTTTTGCAAAATATATTTATATTTAATATTTATTGACGTATTAAGGTATAATATGATAAAAACTGTTAAATTCTTTGTCGATCGCTTATGCGGACTTAAAATCAATTCAAAAGTTATCATTAATAACTTCAAAAAAAAGTACGATAAACATGCAATGTACACACATATATTTTAGAAAAAATAGGTATTAATCGATTTTTCGATAATTTGATTTAATTTTTTTTTTATAATTAATTTAAAATTTCTTTTACCCAAGTAACAAAAGTTTTTACTAAAAGTTAACAAAAAATACTTATTTAAATTTATATATAATGACTCATGTAAAAACTTTAGTTGAATGACTGATATTTCAATTGTAATAAATTTATTGAAAGGAATAAAAAGAATTTTATGTGTACAATAGTCAAAGTTATTTACTCATAGCTTAAAAATTTCAATTAACCTTTTATGAATTTTGACTTTTATAATTTTGAATTTTAAAAGAGTTGACATTTGAAATCATAAAATTATCACAAGTAATTATTATTTGCTTGTTTATGTCCGCCATTATTACAATATTAATTACAATTAAGTTTACAGTTATGAAATTTTAGTAATTTATAAATTAATAAAAAATATTCTATTGTTTATATTACAGCGGTTCCAACAATAAAAACTAAGAAAAAACTTAAAAGTTGTATTACCGGACCAGATAGAACCATTAATAAAAGTAAAGATACCCAAGTGAAAAGTGGATTTGAGCAATCAGTTATTGTTAAAGATCTTATATTAGAAAATAAGACATCAGAAATATTATCACAAAAAGTACAAGATGATGAAAAACCACAACAAAAATTACAGCCACAAAAACAAAAACAACCAATACAGGAAGAAGAATTTCCAATAGTTTGTGGCCACTTAACTTTTGAAAGCTGTAAAAATAATTTATCATTTCTGTGCAATTTTTGTCAGGCAAATTTAGAATATATTGGAGCATTTTCCACGCATTTAATGCGATTACATTATGATGAAATGAAAAATAAAACGAGTCAATTAACAAAAGAAATCTCTAAAATATTAGATGAAAGGCAAAAATGCGGTAGTATTCGAACTTCATTAATGTGGCAAAATTCATTACAAAATTGTGAATTCCGATTCGATTGCAATTTTTGCAATGAAAAGTTCAAAAATATTGATGATTATTCTAGCCATATTGGAAAAAGCCATTTAGATTTATTAAAAAAAGGTAAGATCGTAAAATATAATAGTTTTTCGACAGACCAGTTCGTATTAAGTGTTCGTAATATTTTAAATTTGAGTACACAATCTCTTTGAAAACTATAAAATTTTATTTCATGGTCCAATTTTTTATCTCTGAACATATTTTCTTAAATAAACTTAAATCATTTTGTTTTCAAGAATGAAATAAAAACCAAAAAAATCAACCAACGGATAAGTTCATAAATATATAAATAGACAAATTTGCCTACATATATATGAATTATGTATATTAAACAATTAAAAAATTGAGGATACCTGCAAAGCAATAATAAGCAATAATTTACATTTCAACTTATTATGTTTTACTAGACACACGCAACCATAGGATCTTTCACTACAGGTTAAACTAAACAATATTTATCTGTGTAATAATTATTAAATTATTTTTGCAATTTTCCAATATATTTCAATACATAATGTTACCTAAAATATACGTAACATTAACAATATTTTTTTTAATTTTTACAATATATTTAAACATTCACATTACTTACCTCTATTATTTGTTTTTATTCAGTAAGTGGATGGTTTGTAATATAAATATCTATAAGGTCATTAAATATTTTATTTTTATTTGTCACTGACTTTCAATATAAATTCACAGCAAGAAAATTTAACTACTTCAAATACAATTCAATTATTGTTTTGTAATTTTAATAAAGTAGAAAACTAAATCGTGATATAATATCAACTTAGAATTATGAACTCCGATTTTTTTTTTACAGGATAGAAGATGACAAAAAAACTTTCACTTAGCAATTGACTATAATTATAATATTAAACTTTAGTAAAACTTTTAAAATTTCGGTTTTTGACTGTCAATTTCAAGTGTTTTAATTAAATTTGTATAAAACATTAAATTTGATTTGGCTTATCCTAGTGTTGTGTAATATTAAATGGTTAATAATATCTCTAAAATTTTATCCCAAATTTCTTTTTCCCTCTACTTATTAAAATTACTGTAGTAATAATTATACAGTATAATATAAGTAATTATAAGTTTTGCAGTTCATTTAAATAATATAAATAATTACTTACGGCTTTTCGATATTCCGCGTCATAGTACAGACTATGGGATGAACGAGCCAGTGACGCGTATGTTTCGCGAAATTAACTTGTATTCGTTCATTTTTTGCATAGGCCAGATTATACAGTAGCATTATTTTTGTTGAGTTTATTTCTAGTTTATGTGACGCTAGTTTAGTTATTGTTATCCACGTTTGTTGGTTAAGTGATGTTTACTTTGCTATGCTAAAATGCTTGTACTAAGCAATCGTCTGATATATAATATTGTAATTAGCGTAAAATATTTTTTTATTATACATTAGACGAATATAATATTAGAAATTTATATGTATTTTATTTTTTTTTTTAGACAAAGAAACTGAGTCTGAATTTGAAGATGATATTGATATTGATCCATCATGTATTTTATCATTTGATCAAATAAATGACATTGATGAAATGAATTCGAAAAACAGCACATCAACTGCTACGATCCCAAGTAATAGTGATGAAAATAATAATGGTGGCAACAAAATAATAATGTCTGTACCAATATCCGATAATTCAGAAATTTTCATGACAATAGACATTAACGAAAATGAAAATTTAACAAATACTAGTAATATAAACAACAATAACCATAATCATAATAATAATAATAATAATAATGATAACAATAATAATAATAATGACAGTAATAATAATAGCAATATTTATAATAAGGAAAATTCTCAACGTGATGTTACTATGGCAGATAATTTAGATAAACCAAAATTAAAAGTTAATATTAAGCATAGTTCTTGGGCAACAAGATATTACTAAATTGAATTTAGCAAAGAATGTTCTAACTTTTTATTATGGAAAAAATTTGTTTAATTTAGATTAAAGAATAAAATATGTTTATTTATGCTTATTTTATATGTAAATGCTCAAATTACACAATATATGTGTAGTTTTGCATTTTTGAAATTCTGTACCTCTACAAGAATATAAATTTAAGTTTAAAAAATATTTATTTTTGTCATATTGACGATAAATGAATGAATTAATTAAGTCATTTAATTTTTATTATTACTATTTTGTTGATATCGTAAGACTCGTGTCAATTATTAGACAATACATACATAAGTTGTTTGAATTAGGTTTATAGAAATTAAGAAAGGAAGCGCAAATTCTGAATTCACAAAAAAAAATCTATTTAACTGATTTCATTCGATCAAATTTTCATTATAAAAGAATTTTAATTAATTATATGTACATAGATTGAACGAAAAGAATTAATCAATTATTATTTGTATTTTCAATCCATTTTTTTCTACGTTAATTAATATTTTTTGTTATTATAAAATATTTTAAGTAGCTATCGTAAATATTTTTTAAATAGTTCAAGTACTTACTTATATTATCATGAAATTTTTAACATAACATTAAAATGAAATTGTGATCAATTTAATTAAATATATTGTGAAAAAATAATATTAATATGCTTAAAATAGTATATCGTTACTTAAAATTAGATTTCCTTGAACTTTTAAGTTTATCTTTTATATTTAATAATGAGGAAAATCAAAATCTTTATTGACTAAAGCAATGCATGCACAATGCAATCCAATTTGGAACATTTTAAACTCATAAAAACGAAAGAGTAATCATTTTAATACAGGAATTAGTTTACGCAAAATAATTGCCGGCTAATAAAATAAATACCATTATTGTTTAAAGGATTGAATATTAAATTTTATGTAACGATATTAAAATTTATAAAATAATTAAATAAAAAAGTAAAAATTTTTTACATGATTTTACTTATAAATACCAAACTTAAAATAATTATCTCTTAAGCAATCTCTAAGATTTTATCATTCAAGAAAACAAATGCAATTAACACTTTATCAATTTAAAACTAATTAATTAATAAAAAAGAAAATATTAACGTCAAATTAAAAGTTTTTGCATAATAATTGTAAAAACGCTATTTTAAGAATGAAAATTTATTTTTTACCTTAAATCAAAAAAAAATCTTCAATTTAGTAGAAGAATATGAAATTACATACATATACAAAAGAAAAAAATGTGAACAATTATTGATGAAATAAATATGAAAATGCAATTATTGTTGTATAATTTTTGGGTTTAATTTTAAAAATACAGTTTTATTGAACTTGTATTGATTTCCTTTTGGTATTTTTTCTGAGATTATAGAATTATTTATAGCTTTTTCTATTCTAAGATAAGGTTAGATTGACAATGTCGAGTCAAGTTACGAAGGGCGGTTAACATATTAGCACTCAATGGAAATTTCTTCATACAACTGCAGAACAGATGGATAACGTAATCAAATTAACGAGTTAAAGGCACAAAAATTAAAAAATTTTTCTCTTCAAACTGGACTCCCAACCAGTGATCTACCGCTTTCTAGGCGGACTCTCTACCAACTGAACTACAGAGGTACGGAAAAATTGTGGACGAATTGTTCTTCACATTGCGTTATACTGTAATCCATACGATTACCAAGTATGTATTGTTTACATTGTGATGCTAAATGCAATCTTCTATTTGAAACACACAATCACAAGAACATTACATATACATACATATGTATAAATAGGTATTGTGCCCATTACACTAATAATATTAGAAAGCATAGTACACTAATTAGATTAGAAAGCGGTAGGTCTACTTAGAAACGTTAATAAAAATTAAGCCATTATTGCATTCTTAGGAAACCTTAAATACTTTATCACCTACATATATTATTATTAGTGGCGTTATTGGCGTGATGAAAAAAATAACCAAGTCATTTAACCTTAAAAAGGCCATAAATGTTTCTAAGTTGGTAGCATTATTAGACATCGCGGTGTTACAATTAAATAATTAAATAATTTCTATAACTACTAACTTCGTATATTTTTCTATTTTACGTACATTTAAACTAAAAAATCTTGAATTCTTAAAAGCATTGTATTATACTGAAGTGATAAAAAGGGACTATGTCGTCTATGAAATAGTACACCCCGAGATTTTGACATTTGCCATCATGTCAAAGTTGACAATTTGCTATTATGTATTTGTAAAATTATAATCTTTAAATTTTATGTAGGGGCGCCATTCTTTAAATTTTAGCTACATTGTTAGAAAGGTATTAAATTTTTTAATTTCCATTTTAATTATAAATTTGTTTCTAGCGATATAATTATCCTTAAAATATACAATCAGTCATTATTAAAAATTAATTCTTACAATTTACAACAATTTCATTTCAAACTCTGATTTTTTAACATTAAGCTGATTTGTTTTTTTATAATACAAAAGCAAGGATCTCTTTTTGAAGTTTTTACTATAAATACAATTGCTGGATGCGGTTTTTGTTTTCTAATTTCCATTCATAGTTGCCTACAAGTATCTAATAATAATGTACATAGGTTACTACATATGTACATATGTACATATTATGTATGTTGTTATTTGATGTAAAATCCGTAACTTGTAATACATACATATGTCCTCAATTGTTCATCAATTTTTTAATTAACATACATACATAAGTTTTTATGAAAATAGCTTAAGTATACATTATGCATGTATGTATGTATGTAAAAATAAATTGGACTTGCAGTCATATCCATATGAAATGTTCATTCATTCTAACTTTAAGTACAAAACTTGCTTTTAAGAAAATTTCCGGAATAATATACTTTCACTGGATTGAAATACTTATGTATATGTACATAGCATATAGAATACGAACATTTTAAAATTATATGAACATATGTATGTATATACATATATATACTTGTTGTTTATTGTCTAAACTTTTGAAAAAAATGTGTTCTTTTGTGTCCCTTTAATGTACCACTTTGTGTAAATGCCTTGTCACATATGTCACATTTGTAAGGCTTTTCACCTGTATGAATTCTTTCATGACGTTTTCGATCTGAATCTCTCTTAAAGCCTTTATTGCAAAATTGACATTTGCATGGTTTATCCTCATCATCCTCATCTCCAGGATAAGTTAGTGGTTCTTGTTTTGGTTTAGATGTTACGCCGTTATTGTAATTATAATTTGGCTCGCGATTACGTTCTTTGTAGTGCACTTTTAAAATTCCTAAATTAAAAAGGGAATAAAGTGGTAATTGTTATTTTATCTAGACGTTTTACATGTTACCATCCGCTCCAAGATGATTCTCTAATATGTGATGAAAAAAAGCTTTGCTGTCATCAAACTGTTCCTGACATAAAAAGCAAACATGAACAAACATACAAATCTCAGACATTAATATTTTTCCACATTTTATTTCTCCTGCATTCTGCCGACGAAGAATTTTTGTTGGGATGAAATTAAAAGGAAAGTGCATTTCCGTAATATGTTCGGATAACAAATTAAATTTATCATAAATGTTTGAGCAATACATGCACTCAAATTTAAAATCTCTTTCCACACAATAAATTATTTCCCCAACAGGAATTTCATATTGTTTTAAGTCCTTCAAAGGTATTGGTTCATTAGCTACATCTATGTCATCAGTGTTAAAATCATCTGAATCGTCATAATAATCATCGTCCTCTTCTTCGCATGAATTTTGACTTCGTTGGTCGTTACTATTGTCCTCTGCATCCAAATTCAGAGGATCTAATTCAGTAAGCATTTCACTTGGCGATATTTCATCCATTTTAGTAAACAACTTCTTTCTTTTATTTCACATAAAAAAACAATTATTTGATAGAAAAAATTAAGAGTTTTTAAATAAATCGTAATAAGTTAATATTTCGCCTAAAAATTGAATATAAATAAAATAATATTTTAATTCTCCTAAAAATTTTGGTAGCTACTGAGTTTGTTTTTGTTTACACATTGTTTTTTTAACTTTTATGTTGCTTTTGTTTAGGAATAATTTAGATCAACAAAAAAATGTTTATATACAAATTACTTCATAGAGTGGACCAAAAAACTAAATAAGTGCCTCGGCTGACAAATTACAGGGTAAATTAATGTACGTGTAAAGAACTATTTCAGTTGAAATCGTAAATAAAAGAAACACATTTATTTATTACACAAATTATCCCACAAAACAAATTTAAACGAAAAAAAACAAAAGGTTGTTGTTTTATTTACTAAACTAAAATTTAGCTGAGTATTAAAAACCGTATGAAAAATAGTCTTCAAAAAAATTTGAATTGTAAATTTTTTGTCAACATACATACATAATGTGTACATATATGCAAGTTACCATAGGGCAGGAAGGACCACCCTAATATGGACCTTAAAATTTTTTTAACTAAGATTTTCGTGTGCACAACTAAAAACACAATCTCATATGGAAGTTGCTAATATAAAAATGAAATTCAAATATGAAAAGTATTGAACCCAATCTTATGACTTAATTTAAAAAAACAAATTTAAAATAAAAAAAAAGATTTTTGGAAAAGGAGAAAACAATAAAGTTTTTCCAAAGATTTAAAAAAAAGCTTTAATACAAATAAAAATAAATAAATACCAAAATAATTTTAAAAGCATGGGCCACGTTTAACCGAAGCGGCAACTCTGCTCGTGAATCGTAATTGCTGACTTGTGTAGTAGAATCACTACATAGGCAATAGAGTAATCACAATATTTTAAGCCATCGATTGTGTTAGTATGTGGTTTGTCTACAATTTTTTTTTAATTTTAATCAGAAGAGAAAATGTGAATAAATAATGTTTGGTATATGAATGCTAATTACAAGTGATTAAAAGGCATATTTTATTTAACATTGGTATCTTCAAAATTGCAGTAATACGAATATTAACACGCAATTCAGCTTATGAGTAATTTTTGCTGAATTGTGTGTTAAAAGTTAACTTTACCGCAATTTTGAAGTCATGGTTGGTAAGCCTGACATAAGAAGTACATATGTATTTTCGATTAAAATTTTGAAATGAAATTACTAAACTACAAGGCAAGGACTCCTATTCCCTTTACAACTTTTTGATATCATCTTTCTTTATAATTTACTTCTTCATATATCACTGTATTCGTTTTGGAAAAAATGATTTTTTTTAGTAATGATCTGCTATGGAAATATATTCATAAGTGCATACTTTAATCTGTCCTTATTTTAGAGATTAAAACTTCGCAATAACCTTCCGATGTCCGATGGTCTATAATTTATTTTTTCCCATCAATACATCACCAAGATTTTTTTTCCTTCCTCTAAGTGGGGAAAATACGTATGCAAACAGTAATGTAGTCTGTAGGTTGTAAATTAAAATTTCCGTATTTCATTCCAAAAACATACTGAAGCATGTATTAAAAAAAATTATTACATAATTGCAACATCTTTATTTTCTTAATCTCAAATACAAAAAAAAATTTTTGTTTGTACATACATAATTTACCTTTGAAGTTTTTTCGATATTCCGAACAAAACAATTTTGCAATTAATATAATTTTGTATTTTAAAATAGAAACACAATATTATACACAATGTTTTATTCTTCTAATTAAAAAAAAAAATTAATTCTTTATAATTATGAACTTATTAAAAAAATCTTAATATTACAGAAATTAAAGTATTAAGGAGATGAAAATAAAGAAAAACAAATGTTAAAATTAACCAACTTTAAAATTTTATTTAAAAGTACCAAATCTCGATCATAATTCACGATAAAATAAATTCAGCCGCTAATCTAGCTTCTTCTGCATCAGTTGTTCGGGAATAATTACCGTAATAAAGGTTTTGATTTTGTTGGAGTTGCTGATGCTGTTGATTTTGCGTTTGTTGTTGCAATTGAAGGCGGGGATTTTGCATCACATGGAGCTCATTATGTTTTGCTAATTGTTTAAGAGTACGACATTGATAATTACATAAATCACATTTTTGAGGTTGAGATTTTGCTTGAGAACGAATTGGTGCTGCAAGAAGAATATGTAATTTGCATTTGGAAAATTTTTTGATATAAATATACTTACTGGTGTTTTCTCTCGCTTCTTTCAAAGTTTTTGATCCGCGAACTTTTGATGTTGTTTTGTGAACGGTGTTTTCGTTGACAAACTCAGTTTTTTCTTCCATCTTCTTAGCAAACAATTGAAATGCGTCCAAAAACGTTTTCGGATTTCCTGTGTATTAAAATTTAATGAAATTTTGAAATAATAAATATGTACGTATAAAATTACCTAAAAGAATGTTCAAATGATATTCATTAATATGTTTTGAAAACTGTTGAAAATCCTCAAATGGCTTATTGCATACTGTGCAAACATAAAGAAACGAACATGTATTTGACATGAATACATTTCCACATTTTTCAGCATCGAAATCTGCAACTTTGATATCATGAACATCAGTATTATACGGAAAGTGGCTTTCATTGATGTGTTCAATGTATCTAGTGATGCCCTCGATAATTTCCTTACAGTAATGACACTTTATTTTATATTGTTTTGTTTTACTTAAATAAATTTCACCACATTTGGATGGATATCGTGCTATATAATCAACTAATGTTTTTTCTTTTTGAGCTGTTTGCACTGGTTCGGGTTCAAAATTTCCTGTTTCTGAATGTTTTTGTCTATTCTGTGGTGAAGGTAACTCTTCAACAACTTCCTCTGTTTCAATAACAGTTTCATAGTTGGAAATATTTTCTTCAGGTATTACACATTCATCAGATGTTGTAGGTTCAGATCCAGAATGCCATATTTCATTTTGATCTATAGATTGGTATTGATGACTTCCTGTTAAAGACTGATGATGGGATTGTTGCGCTTGACTTGATTGGTGATGGTGGTGAGAATTTTGATGATGTTGCTGTTCCCAAGAATTTATATGATGTTGAGGTGCGTCTTCATATTGTGCGTAAACTCCATGTCTGGGTTCTATTTTAAATTTTTTCTCTTCAACATCTTCATCTGTCAAATCTATTGCATCAGATCTCTGTTGGATTAAATCTTCACCTTGTTGTAGTTGTTGCGATTGAATTATTTGTTGTGCTAAGAGCTGCTGTTGATTTGCTGGTAATAGCTGTTGTTGTGCCAATAATTGCGGCGATAATAAAAAATAATATGCCATTTTAAAGGCTCTATGTTTTTAAATAATAAATTCTATTTCTCTAAATCCCTATTTTTACTTTGTTTATATTTTTGGAAAAATTAAAATAATGTTGCTCAACAAATGTATATGGGTTTAATAGGTAAACAATACAATTGGTGATGCAAAATCAATTTTTATTCTTAATAAATTCTTATTTAATTGCTTAAGCGTAAAGTTTTTTTTATTACATATTTTTATACCAAAAATGAATAGTTAAAATCGAATAAGCGGAATATTCTTTCTAACTTTACTTAACAATTCTTAAACGCAAATTTCTATTGAAATAGCTAATTAACTAGTAAAATTCTTCGCAGTTATACCGAAATATAGTTCAATTTTTTCTGCTCATTTATTGAAAAAAAACTTATTTTTAATTTTAAAACAAGTTTGACTTAGTTTGGAACTAATTTAATATTATTATAAATTAATAATAATTCTTTTAACCGCACAAAATAGATTGTCGACTCTAACAACCTTATGACATTAGACATGTAAAAATGACATACATGTCACATTAAAGACGCTTTGTGGAAGAGTTCAGAAAACGAAAAAATTACATCATTATAAAAATGGATGCATAAAATGATTTATCAATTAGTAAATAACAAAGAAGACTTTTCTATGAATTTTATTATTTTCTCCTTAGAACTGGCTTGAAAATTTATTATTTGAGCATTCAATTCCTATCGTAAATAGTTTCATTTATTCTTAGAGATAGATATTTCTTTTGCGTTCCTAGAAAAGAAAATTTTATTCAAGAGGAAATGTTCACATGTATGTGCACATATATTTAAGTTTATAATATGTGTATACATTAACATGCTGCCATGGTTATCATGTTTGGTTTATAGATTCATGCATCATTGGCTTTCTTGTTTATTTGATTGTTAATTTAATTTATTTAAGAACTATTTCCTAAATCAAATAAATTTAAAGTTTTGCTTGTTTTTTTCATATTATGCTATTATTTAAAAGTGCAATCTAATTTAACCCTATACGAATACATTATAAATTTAATTTTTCATGCTTTCTAATTTAAAAAAGAACACGTTTCTCGAGAAATTATTCTTGAATACTTCTTTTTTTTTGTACTATTTTACGTACATACTAACATACCTACAGTATGACATACAGAAATTTTTACTAGTATAAAAAAAGTAAGGCTGGCAACAAATTTTTTAATGAAATATTACGTAAAAGAACGATGTTATAAAATGCGTAAAATAAAAAAATACGTTTTTCAAAATATTACATACATACATACATATACCGTTTAAAAAACGTCTTTACCATTTATATGGATAGTAATGTAGTTTTTACGTTTGAAAATTATAAAACAACAGTATCTTTCAAACGTTAATTAATCCTTATTAACCTATTAGTTACCAACCAAATTACAAATCACATTTAAAATTGATAATCAAAACAGTTTTTTAAATGCATATTAAGGAAGACACACAAAATGTGAAGGTAGATTTCATGTCAATTTTTAATATTTCTTGCTCATGTTCACAATATGTAGTTTTTTCTTTCAGTGTCTGATGGTTTTTGACAAAATTTAACGAATTATTTTTTTTTCATAAACTCGAATCCTATTGTTCATTAAAAAAAATTATCTTAAAAAATAAGAAAAAAGTTCAGTATCAGCGAAGGAAGATTTACTTCAAGTAAAAAAAATCAATAAGTTAGTAACTTGTACGTTATATGAGTTAAAAACTTTTTTAAAAATTCTGATTTTGGACATTACATATTTACAAACTAAAAAAATCTTTGACAAAGATGGTTCACAGCTGGAAGGGCAATTTAATGAGCATTAAAATAAATGCATAGATTTGGATATCTGTTCCGCTCTTTTTTGCTGGAAGGGCATAATTGAAGGTTTTTTATAAACATCAATTTTGAGGTTTTGTCATTCGTGAAGGAATGCGAAAAAAGGAAAATCGCTGTTATTTTTTTGTGCGACTTTTTATATTCTATCCTATATTATACCCTGTTTCGAATGTTCTACCTAATTTAGAGTCTCAACCACCCTACATATAAAGAAAAGAAAAAGCTCAATCAGGCACTATTTACTGGCGGGTTATTTTAGTTGGCCCAATATTGTAAAAATTAAATATTGTGGCTATAAAATCAATTGAATCTACTTGACCGACTAAATGTAAATTAATTTTTTTAACAATAGCAATAGAAAATAATTAATAGCGGAAGTATTTTGTACTTCGTGCATTTTAATTGTTTTGACAAAAGTATTGAACAATACGTACTGGTACCTATTCTAAAATTTTCTTGGCATAGAGATTAATAAAAACGAACGCTTCATTTTAATTTATTATAAATAATACAAACGTACATTTTTTCTTTTATCAATAATTTTGTTCCATACAATTTGTTCAAAACTGTAACAGCTTCATTTTAAATTATTTTTTGTAACAAAACTTTACTTATTAATAAATTTATTACATTTTTTAAATTTCTAAATACTATGTAACATTAATATTAACAATAATATGAAATAAAGTATAAACACGGATCTACTATATTTTTGTAAAGCTTAATTTACAAAAAATTTTAAGTAGGGAAATATTAAGTAAATTTTTTTAAGTATTTGTTCTTGTCACGTATTATGATAAGCAGTTCCTAATAAAACAGCATCATGAATTGTTGGTAATATCACAAATGGACCTTCTCCTAAAGCCATACTATGTATTAGAGTGTCATAAACACGATCTGATGGAGCTGCTAAATATAGTCTTACACCAATTAATTCCATTTCTTTTAATACATCTGTTAACACATGACAACCAGCTACATCTAAATGACCAACTGCCGCTAAATCTATAACCAGTGTTTGGAAAGATGGTAAAAAATTATCCCTTTCGGTTGGTCCTAGCATACTATTTCTTCGAATTTGAGTACTGTTTACTTTAATTGATTTAAATAAACATTTTTTGTATCCGCTCATAGTAGCAAAATTTAATGAACCAGAATAATGAAACTGCAAATTGAAAGTAGGAAAAAAATAAATAATTAATCAAGTTAATATTTTTCAAAATGATAATATGAACATTTTGTTAAATTAAATACATATGTGTGAATAACTAACAATTTTTATTCCTGCAGGCTCCACTGCATTTTTATGACGATCCAAACACACATATACGCCCGTTTCTGAATACGGTAGTGTTCCCATCAAACAATAGTAAGGTTTGATACTTTTCAAAAAAAAGGCACCTGTAGCCACAATTATTCCAATTGCCAAACTATGAAATTTTAATTCTAGATTTTCATGTTATAAAAACATAATTTTGTTAAACTTACCCAATATCATAATCGATTATGACTACAGAAAAAAATGTTATTAACCATATAAATAACTCCATTTTCCCTTGTTTCGCAAAAGTTTTAACTTCCTTAAATTGCATAAACATTCCTTTAAGCGCAACAATAATGATACCAGCCAAAACACACTTAAATATATAATAATTGGTAATGAAGAAATCACGATAGATTTTTGTTAAAACTTACTCTTGGCAACGTTTCAAAAAATGGTCCGATTACCAATAATATTAATAAAATTAGCAAGGCCGCAATCAATGAGGATATTTGTGTTTCACCTCCTGTTTGCTCTTGAATTAATGATCTTGATAAGGAACAGCACATTGGCATACAGGAAAAACATCCACCAACAAGATTACCAAGACCAAGTGCAACTAACTCTTGATTTGGTTTTATCTCATAAGCATGTTTCTTAGCAAATAATAACCCCATTGATATAACAACAGAAAAACTTACAATTGAAATAGCTATTGCATCAATCCACAATTTATTAATTAATTTTAGTGGTGGGAAAAATGGTTCTGGTAAACCAACTGGAATTTCTCCAACAACTACTATACTATATTTTTCTGTTAAACCTGAATATTTTGATATTAAAGTACCACCTAGCACAGCCATAAATTCTGCGGGCAAAGGAAATTTACATCGTTTTGATAGCGCAGGTTTTGCCACTTCATTCATTATCATCATAAAAAATATTATACAAATTGAAAATACAAATGTTGCCACATTAATTTCAGATATATTTTCTATGACGGCTATTAAAGTGTATATTATTTTAAATGCACCCTTAAATCTTGGTATTGTAATACCAAAGACATCTTTAAGTTGACTAGTAACTACGTGAAAAGCTGCTGCTGTCGTAAAGCCCTTAACAAGTGGATCAGTAAGGAGCGAAGATAATTTTCCAAGTCTAAATATAGCCATTACTAACTGGAAAATGAATGAAACAAGTAAATATCAAATTAACAAGGGGAAGACGAATAATTTTACATGAATTATGCTAGTTGCAATTGCAAGTGCTGTTACAACTTGAATAGGACTGTAGAATTCTTGTGAATCGACATCGCCATTTGATATTATGTTTGTTGAATTGCTGATTAAGAAAGAGTCAATTGAACTATGCGTTTGGACTGCTTTCAATGTCATAAGAGCTATAACAGCAAATGTTCCTATTGATATATGGCGTGATGTACCAAAAATCATATAAACTAAAACTGGAAAGAACGCCATATAAAGTCCTACTTTTGCTTCAACACCAGCTAACATTCCATAAGCCATCCCTAAAAAGTAAAATGTAGTTAGTATAGTTGATTAATACGGTTGCCGACTTTAATTTGGCTCTTATTTTTTTTTATATAAGAATAATTTAGTCTTGTTATAATAGTCTTGTTATAATAGTTGAAATTTTCCATACCTTGAGGTATTTGCATCACAGATACTGTGATTCCGGAAGTTATATCACCGATTAAATTTTTTTTGAATGAATATTTTGGCAGCCATTCTAAAATTGGTATTAATCCACGAAATAATTTTATACAATTAAAACTTCTACAATAATTTTTAAGTACAGCTGGAATGGTTTTGTAACGTGTTTCATAGCTTGTCTCTTCAATAACAGCCTCTTGTGTAAGTACTTTACGGTTAATAGAATAATTTGGCAAGGATTTTGGTTTTTCGTCAGCTAAAGTAAAAAAAAAATTTATAAAAATAAATTAGAAATTTGAGATCTAGTAATTTATATCGCTTATATAACTAAATACATATATATAAAAAAATTGTAATTTTTATTCCAATGAAACGTTCTCAAATCAAGTTTAGTTCACCGACTTCTGCAATGTGCAGCATATATGTATAAGGCATATAAGTTTAAATTTGCATCTTTACGAGATTTTAACGTATTGCATATTATTAGTAAATCTGTAATATGTTATTAACAAGCACATACATATATGTGTGTGTGTACATGCCATTAATTACGTTGTCTGCCTTTAAAACTATTCCTTTACAAAATCAAGTAGTACTTAATTTTTTATAAAATCATATAACAAAATTTTGCAATGTGCAAGTAAAAATATATTTAAAAATAATTTTTTTTGTGGTAAACAAAAAAAAGTCATGCAACAAAGGGTTAATAAATTTCAGATTAAGTTCTTGTTATGTGTAATTAATCACTTTTAAGTATAGAGTTTTGTTAGGTTTAAGAAAAAATTAAATTCTGAAATTATAAAGTTAGGAAACCTTTTTGGTTTATGAAATTATCTTTCCTCAAACAGTAAAGTGTTAAATATTTACTAAATGGTAAGTTTAAGTAATTTTAAAGCGAATCTTAAAGGAAAACAGAGGGAAAAATGGGAAATTGCAGCATAAAAAATTGGAAAAATATAATAATGTTATGGGACCTAAAACTGCAATAAATTTGTCAAATCGTTATTGTAGAAATAAAAGAATATGGATGGCATGCATAGGAAACTTATGTAATAAAAACAATAGTCAGCAAGCATTTAAGATAAAACAAATTTGTTTTATCTTAAATGAACGGAAATAACGTATATATGTATCTTTCAAATAATTATTATTATATTATAATGTAATATATATGTATAATTGTTTACACTATTCCTACTCATTTTTCGTGTCTTCAATTTGAATTTTTAAATATTCAATATATTTTGAAAATTTGGTGTCTTATTTTATAGACTTTTCATGTAAATTCCAATGTACTTAAAGGATGTCATCAATCTTCATGTTTACTAGCATCAAATACCACTTCAGTAATGTATGTGCAATATTAAATTTTCACCTGTAATAAAATTGAAAAATTTATTATAAAATTAAAATTATAGTAAATAATAGATTGAAATAAATTTATTAATTATTTTAATTCTTAAGGTTTAAGGTTTTAAACTCTTAAGGTTTATAAAAATTATTATTAATTTTTATTAATAAATTTACAAATAAATTTTAATATATAATTACAATTTCACAATAGTTGTAAATAGTTATTAGATTTATGCAAAATTTTAATTATATTTTTATTAAGATATTTTATAATATTATTCACTCATATCTTCTCAAACGCACCACCTCTCGTGGTGATGGAATTATTGTCAACAACTTATACACAAAGAAAAAGGATTTTTAATTAAATCTTTGTTTTCGAATTATAAAGTTTTTAAAATTTCCCACATATTTTTCGAATACAACAACATAATATTATTGTTTTTAAAAAATTTCCTAAATACGTTAAATAACCTCTATAATGTTTGTATGCATGTAAATATGTATGTTTTATTGAAAATGTAGTTTAAATAGAATTGTAATACGTAATTTGCTCTAATAATAAATTGGTAGAGGACTTTCGTTTTTCATATAATATTCTTCCTCAATTAAAGTTTAAAAACATATACACATATGTACATACGTATATATATAATATGTAAAAATGAGCTTTTTGTGTTTTCATTTTTAAATTAAATGAAATAAAATTGTCGTAAAGATAAATTAAAAAAACAAAAATTATTTCACAATAGTGTGAGAATGATCAAACCAAAAATAAAATGGAGACGATAATATTGAAATTTGGCAAAAATTCAAAAAATAATAATATGGTACATGGGTATGTGATATTTTTTGTTAAAAAGAAATAATCATGTAACTTTTTAGTTTTTTAAGGTTATGTAAGGTTATTAAACTTTGAAAAATAATATAAGATATTTGAAATTAATTAAAAAATTATTATTATATGTTAAACTATTTAAGACCGTTAGTATAAGGTTATGGTCGTTTTAATATTATTATAATTGATTTTCCAAAAGATTTCCTCCGTTTCTGTAAACAATTCAACAACATCACACTATATTCAATGTAATTATCCGATTTTCTTAATTTTGAGATTAATATTCATGTATGTTAGCTATGTTTTACGTACGTATATCTGTAATAATATTTTTTCTTATATAGAAACTGTCTTTATTAAAATATGCAATCATATAATGCAACAAAATATTAAACAATATAATAATAAGATTGTCATACACGAAATACTATAATAAACTTTTAGCTCAAGAATAGCTTTTAATGGGGTTATTCTATTGCAATAATTGAATATTTTGTTTACATTCGTTGAAAATCTACTGTTTGTATTTGAGTTACGATCAATTAATTTATATTGTAAATTCTTAAAAAATGATCTATAATCATATATTAATATTCTTATGTATCACAAATAAAAAATTATTAACTAAAGAATATTTATTTAATTAAAACAATTAAGAATAAATGTAGTTGAAATAATTTGCTATATTTAAGCACAAAACTTGTACACAATTCATACACAAATATTAAAAAATTTAAGTTGAATATTTTAATATTTTTGTTGTTCTCCAAATCTCTTAAAGTACTGAACTCCTAAAATAATAATTAGACAATTTAATTTAAAAAAAAATAAAAAAAAAATTAAAAAAAATTGACACTGAAAACATTTTATTAATTTAATGATTATTGTTGTGTCAACAAATAATAATTTATTGTAGAGTGGTATATGGTCATAAACTGAAATATAAGTTTAAAACTTTTTTGAAATTATAATTATGAGACTATTTCATTTAAAATTGCTTTATGACCTATTTTATCACTGATGTCAAAATTTATTTAAATTATAATGTGAATTTAGCATCTTGGCAATTCAATAATTTAGTAATCTCGTATTTCTATTTTGTAAAATCTTCAACATTTTATTTATATTTTTCAACTTTAATTATATGATTTTGAACTAACTTTCAACTTTTTCTTAAACTTAGCTCTGTGGCAACAAGGCTAAACTCTTAAATCCGAATTAGTTGTTTCATTTGTTAGAATTATCCAAACCGAACCTAATTTTGGATTACTTTGTATTATGTTAATCATCGGTTATGATTAACAAATATTTTTATACCGTAAAAATTTTTCTCTTTATATTTTTTCATCTTTATTATTGAAATTAATAATACCATTATACTCATACATATTTATCTAACTATTTCAAACCGTTATTTAGATTTGATTATTAAAGTATTTATTTCTTTGAATTAACTTAATCATGAAATTTGTTGAGAAAACGAGATCTATTATAAAGATAGATGACATTTTTAAGTATATGGGCTGTAAAACTAAATCTTAAATAATCGTTTAAACTTTTTGCCTTTTGTTTAGCGTATCGGTAAAACCGTATTGTGTATACAATAAGGAAGGTTATGTGATGGCAATAGATGTGATCGAGACATATCGAGCTTTCTGTAGGAACGCACTTCTCCATGGTAGAGAAGCGTAAATAAACTATTTTTAGCAACCTGTCCGTCTGTCGATCCGCGTGTGCATGCGTGAATCTCAAGTTCGGCTGAACCGATTTTGGTGAAATTTTATATGTAAGTTTATTTCGATTATAGCATGGATTGATCAACTTTTGGGGTATATTAGGCCTCGGGAACGGGACCTTTTAATGGGCCTGTTTTATATTTTTGATCATTTTGAAGAAAATATTCAACAGATTTACTTGAAAATTCGTATATAAGCTTGATTCGACCATCCGGGAACATCTTAACTCCGGGAACCGGAAGAAATCAGGTGCCAGCAACTGGACGTTTACTACGGGCCAAATATACATTTTTGCGTGTATAACGAAAAATAATTAACCGATTTCATTGAAATTTAATCACGGCTCGGAAACTGATCTGGTGGCCGATTTTACATTTTTTGCCATATCTACGGAACGAATTGATGAAATTTCTTGAAATTTAAAATTTGAATTTTGGTTGTTACCAGAAGTTACTGACGAAGTTTTCGCATAATTCGGACAGTACAAAATGAAACTCTACTATGAGCCAAATTCACATTTTTCTAGATATGTTAACTAAAAGCTTATTAGTGTCCTTAAAATTGTAAAGAAGCATTCAAAACGCATTTTCATAATCTTCTAGAATACTTTTACTAATCTAGACTAATCTAGAATTTTTTAAACAGAAATATATTCTAAAATATATTTATTATATTTTTTTTCATATTTTGATATTAGAATTTTTTTGATCGGATTATTGATTAACTGTTATCATAAAGCAGATGTATGCACACATGTACACATATGTACATATTTAAATTTTATTGATTCGTCCTAGTTATTAAAATAAATAATGAAAATTATCCAATAATTCTGGTTTATTAATACAAAGGTAATAAAAAATTATCATGCTTTTTTAGTATTGAAAATTAAAAATAGTATGAATTTTTAATAAATAAAATAATAAATCATTTGACTAAAAATTAAAAATTGACATTGCGTTGTCAACTTTTAGTAAAGAAGTGAATTTCTCGTGAAAAATTATACTTAACGTATGTTATGTACTTATCAGAAGGTAAGGGAATTTGTGCTCGTGCGAATCTTTTAATAGCTAAAGCTACTTTTTAAACTCTTTTACTTTTATTTATCCATGCATGTTACTTTTTTTTATTGCAAATTATTTCAATATCACGTGCTTATTAATAATCTTCAATATTTTTTTCTTTTATTTTCTTTATAATTATTATTGTGATTATCAAAATATCAGGAAGCAAATTAAAAAAAAAATTAATTACAACCATAATAGCAGAAAATTATTATAGTAAGCCGGGTAGATAATGGTAGTAATTGAGAGAAAAAAATTAATGTAAAAAATTTTAAAGCTTTGTTGGTATAGCTAGTGTTAATTTGTACAAAAAAAAACTAAATTTTCTGTGAAGTGGATCGACTTAAGATTATTTGTATAACAAATAAAACATACAAGTATGAATGTAGAGATAATGTTAAAGATAAAATGATAAGAACGCAAGTAAGTATATTGTATGAACTGGAAAATACCAATAAGGAAAAATTGTCAAAGCGAACAGGCGCTGCCTTTTAGTTTTTTTCTAAATTTATAGGAAACTTTTAACAGTATTCTCTAGTTATATGTGTATACATACTAAAGTCCAGTTATATAATACTCGTATGCATACATAAATAATTTAAAATTGTATAATTGTGCTATTTTTTTATAATTCGGCTAAACTTTTAATCTTTTTGATTGTTTTACAATTAGGTAATTATTAATAGCATTTACGTATGAAATTTTTTATAACTAATTGGGAATTAAATTAAAACACTTAAAGAATTCAATTGGGAATTAAAATTGACTACGAATTAAATTATCAAAACGTGTGTCATATGAGCCTTTAACTCTGATGGATTGCTAAAGTACAAGGTCCAAAATAGTACATAACTATGTTATTAATATTATATAATTAAATTATTTTAGCCAGTTGTTTTAGTATAAAATAATTTTGTCCATTGAATGTACATACATATATATGAATTAATAAAATAACTATATTATCACTAGTGTATCTTTACTACATTTTATTACAATTTTTAATTATGCATTTTCCACATGCTTTTAAAACACTATGAGAGACAGAGGAAAATGTTATATGGGTTAACTTTCAGATCTCATTGTAGCGCATCCAAAAAAAAAACAAAAAAAAAATAACATTAATTTTTGAGAAATTTCGAGTTTTTAAAAAAAATTTAAAAAACAATAATTCTGATTTGACGACCTTTATCTCTAGAACTTTGGCTCAGATCAAATTGATTGTAAGATCAAAAATTATTTCTTTAATTAGTGTAAAACAAGCCCCTAATGATAACTCTTCGATGCATGGTTCCAAAGTATTAAGAATTTATTTATATGCAGGAAATATCTGGTACATTTTTATTCCAACAGACTGTAGCTCGAAAATGGATATATCTAGACA